GCACCGACCCGCCCCGACAGTCCGTGATGATGAGGAGTATATGTTAACCCTTTCTTCCATGTTCTCTCTCGACATCCCACGCAGATGTGATATTCGCTTTCGGGAGGTCAAACAACCCTAGTAAGCAAATTCTCGACAAACTTGATGATTTAGGGTATCTTGGCGCAGATGCCTGCAGCCTGGCGCTAGGCGGTTCCGGACATAATGGATTTATGTTCAGGAGGGCGTGCTACCCCACCGGCAGGTCTCTGCGATGCCAGGCGATTTCGGGACAAGCGGATGTATACTCATTTTTAGGAGGTCAAACTCCCCCGGGTACACGTTTTCAGCAAATGTCGGTGATTATGGTGATTCACGTGGTCAAACAACCCCTGAGGGACAAGTTATCAGCGAATATAGTTATGTAGGGTGCTCGCGCGCAGGTGCCTATGGCGCCACGCGGTTTCAGGCTAAGCGGATGTGATATTCATGTTTGGGAAGTCAAACGACCCTCAGGGGCAGATTTCCGCTCAAACGTGCTTCGAAAAAGGAGTTAGTTAAGAAACTGCCGGTGGCATAGGAAAACACGTGTAATACATTTCAAACGCTGTAACTGTTTTATGGAATAAGAGTCTTGGCATTTTCCTGGTAAACTGAGGTACCTCCCTACCGTGCTTCGCCTTGTGGCTTTGCTGTAGAACTTCTCACTACTTCAAAATTATTCATAGCCCATTTGTAAAATGAAGCTCATCATAGAAAACGGGTTTAGCTCAACAAAAATGCGTTAGTACTCTACTGGAGTACTGGCGCATTTTCCGTAACTTGTGAATCCTATTGGATGCGTCTTCCAGGTTCCCTCTTACGTGAAACTTCGCGCCAATCCTTAGCATTTTACCCCATTTTTATTTCTAACCCCTAACTTGCTAGGAACTTTGGGTGGTTTTTGTTTGTTACAATGACTAAATTTGAAAAGAGGATATGGGGTCCCACTACGATCTCCCTCGGCTGTTTGTAATTTTTTTGATGTGTAGCGCGTTCATTAAAAGGAACAGGAACTCAAATAATTAAGAGTATAAATAATATAAACTAATAATATTGCACTTTGTCTCACGAGCATGCAAAAAAAATTAAAGGACCGTGGTTTAACAGGTCCTCCAAAGAAAAACCGTTGACGTTTCCTCCGAGTTGGTTCCCAGCACGCTTATTCAGTTCGCTAGTGCGGTCCGCCGAGTGAGGTCGGCTGCGGTAGCTGCCACTTCTACTACCAGTTTTCCTTCTTATCTAGTATCGCTGACAAACTCCTTCTCTTGATTGATTCCATACAATCTTGTAACAGCATTAAAGTGATATTAATTTTTGAAGTATCTCACATCGTTTTTGTTCGTAATTACGTGGTGCAGCTCGGGCTGTTGGAAGAGCGGAAAGCGAAGTGATATTCAGCAACATTTTGTTTTTAATAAAAAATATTTTCAGCTGTTGTAAGTTTCCAAGCTGGTATTAATAGCAAAATGGACACAATTTGCCCGGAATACATGAAAGAACAATTACGCCTATTTCGAAAATGGCACCCATTGGGCTGTATTGCCAGGCCATTGAGACATGATGATGGGTCCGTAAATTATGCGATTTGGGAATGTGCGGTGCCCGGGAGAAAGGGCACACATTGGGAAGGAGGACTATTCAAGGTATGTAGTTATTTCCACATAAGGGCAGACGAATAATGGAAGCAAAAATACGGCGCTTAATATGACGCGATTAATGTACGAAGTGCACAGGTCTGGTTCTCCAAGTCCAGCCTATTCTACTGTCGCCTGCGCTGTACCCCTTACCCCTAATAAGCGGCTCACGCGACCGCTCAACCCGGGAGCCACGCGGAGCTCTTCTGCGCCTCTCCCTTCACGAGCCTCTTAGGCATAGAGCGCAGACGACCAGGGTCACACACCCGGACGACCAGAG